TAAACAAACAGATGGACTGCTTTCCTTGCTTTAGTAATCATCAGCGTTGAGCTAAAGGGGATGTTTGGTTTACGGGAAATTGCAACCGCTGCAACTGGTAAAAGTAATTGCAGTTACAGCTATATAGCTGTTTATTTTGCTGCAACTGTAACTTTTTCGCATCCATAGTTGTAAAAGCGAGTCTCCTTTAGAAAAAAATGAATTAAAGTCGATATGGTCACAGGTTGTGTTTGCAAAAATGATCCAGTTTTGTAATTATAGTTCCTAAAAGGCTGCAATTGCAGTGAAATAAACAGCTACAGTTCTAAGTGACCTTTTTTCTTGGGGTAAAATTGACCTACGATTGCGGTTTTTCCATGAACCAATCAGTCACTATGTGTCTTGCATTTCTAAAGTCAGAGGCCCATGGAATAATAACCTCGCTTATTTGCATATGGGTGAAATGAAATGTGCGCAGATGGCTAAAATATTTGACCCAAGTTTCTAAGTTGGCTTTCTCAGCTCAAATCAATTTAAATGGCACCTTCAGTAAGCTACTAAGCTCATTCTAATAATAAATGGTATCACAAAATAAGTGCTCATGCCTTCTCTGTGGGTATGAAAATACTAAGTGGTAAGGCATTTTTCTGGAGGCATGACAATATAAGAGATTTATTATACTTCTTTAGGCTCAGGTGAAGACTCGATTGAGGTCGAGACTTTCTGAAGTGAGGTTAAAGACTTGATCATAGTGGAAAAGACTACAAGCCTATGGGTCTACAGAGAAGAGTTGAATAGTTGAATCAAGTTGATATGCTAGAGCAATAAATGAGCTCAGGATTAAACATGACATGCTGGAATCAACGGTGCTTGAGGTGAAACTGAGACATTGAAGCTAAGACTAAAGCTTTGCGTGGAGCTTGTATGTGGGTTACAGAACAAGCTTGTTCAACTCAATTGGATGGCACAAGGTGAAGCTTAAGGTTTAAGTGTTCATTTCACATCCACTCAGCGCTCAAGTTAGTACATGGTCCAACGTAGGGCGGGCTGAACAAGGACATGTATGCAAAGTACCTTCCTTGGTTGGATGTGTTAGCACCCCAGCTATACTTGAAACATTTTTTTTGGTGTAGTTGATGTTCACTTAAAAGTAACTACAGCTCAAAATAGACATTGAAAACATGTAATGATACTACCAAGATCAGATCTATAAAAACAATATCATGATTTTTAAAAACTATTAAAAGTCAAGAAGTAACTACACTTAAGTGGTAATGCAATGAAGGTAAGACTTTAAACGTTTAGGCTGCCCGAGTTAAAAAAAACCAGACAAGCGGCAGAATTACTTATTTTGGAAATCAAACCTTCAATAGTCTACTGTAATAATACACAGAAATATTGAAAACTTTCTAGAAGGTTTACAGTTTAATTATAGAAAGGATCCTGCAAGCCCTCTGTAGGGTCTATGAACTCTAATAACATGTTGGTTTCTATGATGCCCTTCCCCTTATTAGATGAGAAATCCAAATATCCTTCAGGCTATATTTGGTCCCAATTAAGGGAAAGAATGAAAATGAAATGGGAAATGAAATGAATAGATGAGAAGAACCATCTTTTGTGTTTGGTCACTGAGAAAGGGAACAAAGAGAACCAGAAAAGGAAAAGGAAAATAAAAGAAACATTGCCAGTTTCTGCAAAGTTGGAACCAACAAAAATGCAAGAAAAACCGGAGGAAGGATGAGTAAGGGCAGTTTGGTTCAATAGAAATCGAGTCGTGGCAGTCAATGCTGCACCACCACCCCCTTTCCAGTAGTTTTGACAGCTGCAAAACTGCAGCAAATGCCGCAAAATGCAGGTTTCATTGCAAAATGAATGCAGCATTTGCTGCAGTCTTTTTGTTCAGCAAGGATATATATGCATATTTTAGGTTCTTGGAAAACTATAAATAAAATAGTAGAAGCTTAAATTTGGTCCAGTCAAGATTAGATATTTGTTTGCTAGCCGTACTCTGGTTAATTTACAATTAAGTCTTCCTCAATAGGTATTTCTTGCCTTGTATGATTAGGTCCTGTTAATTTTTTAGTGGATTTGTTTCTCCATTGTAAATAGTTGTATATAAGATTTAGAGAGAGATTCTATAAGGCACAGAGAAATACATGAACAAGTTATATTACTAGTTTTATTTATTGATTCCACAATCTCACTCTTTCTTCCTCGCTCCACAATAGTCTACTTGTTACTGTAAACTTATGCACAATTATCTCCGCTAATCTTCATTAGCTAGGTTTGGTTAGTTTCTACAAGATGTTCGAGCAAATCCCAGAAAGTATTACCGTCAGATACATCAAGATTTCATGAGGCTACAAGAAGACCAATGTGCCTCAAGAAGCTGCGGGCGAGCTTCTTGAATCTTTCTTCCACTAAAAGACTTCAATTTTTCTTTCACTTTATTTTGCTTTTGCTCCCTTCGCAAACAAACACATCAAAAATGTACCAAAAAGAACAGGATGCACTCTTATCACAATCAACCCCAAACCTTATCCAATCAAACTAGGATTGTGATAACAATAACTATCCTAAAGTATAAAAAAAAATGTAACAATTGCAGGGTCTCAGCCCCAAAATTGGTTTTGATTATCTGAAATTAAAAGGGGAAGAAATTGGGGTTAAAGAAACATACGGTGTTATCGTACTGTCGAGGATCCAAATCCAAATCCATCATCGCTCCCCCGAGTTTACGAAAATTAATTCAAAATTAGAAATTTCAAGATGAGTCTACGAGAGGAGAGCGAGGGCTTTGGATTTGATGACGTTTTTATGATGCCTTTGTTTTAGCAGCCGATTAATACAATCTACAAGCGAGCGATGGGTAATTCACGAACCCCTGATATTTACCCAATTACCACTGACCTATCTAGATTTTTTTTTTCCGTTTTATTGTTTTATTATTATTATTATTATTATTATTATTATTCACTTTCTTTTTCGCCCCCTTGTTTGCTAAGCGCTTGCATACCATGATCATTTACTGCTTTGCAAGTTTATGTTTACTCATTTGGTGCTCCAAATTTTCATCCCGTTTTAAACTTTGATGTGCGGAAGTTTATTTTCACTCATTTGATACCCAATATTATCGATCATGCTTGGCATGCGTTTGGATCTGGACTTATACGTTTGTAGTCTATGAACATCCTTGAAATGGAGAGGGGAAAGTTATTGCGAACACCCTGTTATGCATATAACCCAAATTTTACAATTAGGCTAGTCAAATCACGTCATCTCAGCAGACGATTCGGTCAATAGGTAATCAACCTAACTCGACAAACTGTAGGACATCTGCACCCAACCTATAACTTGGTCACGGTCCAGGGCTCTGATCCGTAAATCCGAATAAGATGGTGACGAGCCCATGAAAGCTGAACTCACCTCAACTCGCTTACCATGCATTGCCTTAGCCTAACCTGGTTTTATGGCGGTTCGCATGATTGAAGATGGTTGGTTTGAATCGTATCATATTCTCAACATGACACGTTAGGAGATATCCATCGATAATCAATTTCTTTGATTGTCAACTTCCAAAACTTATCAGATCTACACATACATTGATTGTACCTTCCTCGGTCAATGAGGTCATGACATGTGGACTCATTTGCAGGCCAAGTAACTACCATAACTACATCAGTCGGCACGATGGTAACACATGTACTACCTGAGTTACTCAGGAAAATCCCTATAAATATGCCACCCCGCCAACAAGTAAAGGGGAGAGTGATCATCTTGACATCACTCGACACCACTAACCTTGATCTCTAAAACCTACTCTTAAGAAACTAATGTGGATACCTACTGCTTTGACTTTACCATGAAGAGTCTAACTTAGGCACAAGAGGGATGTTGATGGACAACCCACTATTCTCAATCTCACTTTTTTTTTTTTTGTATCTCAAGCAACCTCAAGCAAAGATCAAAATCAGTCATCTAGGACGAGCAGAGGCCCTTGAAACCGAGTTCAATCTTGCTGAGTCAAACGATCAGTTTTTTTTTTTTTTTTTTTTTTTTTTTTTACACATCCAAAACAACATGTGTGAATGTATACCTTACAATTTTCACTCATTTCAGGATGTTTGTAATGACTACCAAGTTATAAAAGTCTAAATAATGTCTTATGTTTAGTGTGTGATTTGATTTAATAGAAAAATAAAAGTACTTCTCAAATAGAGGTAAGAAAGGTTCACTTTTCTAAAAAAAATGAGGGACTAAATGAGCAAAACTAATTTTTAGAGTTTCAAAAGAGAAATATAGACATTGGAGTATCAAAGCTCAAAATGGTTGAAATTTGGGTCCCATCAAAGTGCAATCAAGCTTATCATATATCCTTAGTTGTTTGTCCACATTTAAATACTCTGTTTCTTTTGAAATGACACTTTTAGTACATTTTTTATGTATATTTTGGCATGTTAATTTTAGGATATTTTTATCCCTGTTGTTTTTTTGGAACAACAATTAAACCATCCCTACTCAAAATTTACCCCCTATTATTAAATTAAAAACTTTTAATAATTGGGGTGTAAATTGAAAATATGAGGAGTTGGAGGTTTAATACATGCAATTAACAAAGAATTTAGGGTCTCACATAACAAAAACCGTAAAAAAATGACACATGGAAGCAAAATCTATTTGATCCTCTTCTTTTTTTTTTTCTTTTTCAATTGCTTCAGTTTTTCAACAAATCAAAGGAAAACTCCGACGCTTCCCCTCTCGGATTTTCCTCGGTGTCATGCAGCTTATACTAGTTATTGGCTCCTACATTGATTTTGCCAGCCATCCAGAAGCTATGAAACATCTGGGTGATAAAAATACGCCAGTTCTGTGATTCTGGCAAATTAAGAACCAAAATCAAGTATTATTTATTATGTCGTGCATAATAATCCTCTTGCACGGAACATCATCAAGGAGCTCAGGAGCTGCAATATTCGAAAATTCATAAGATGGTAGTACTTACTTTCCATGAAACTACGATATCAGCAACAAAACCATCATCCTCACTGAAAAATGAAGGGAAAAAGTACCATTACTCAATACAAGATGGACGTATCTGCAGCGAAAACTATGAGTTGTTTTCTTTATGCAAGAATGTCATAAATATAGATACATTATGCTAAAGTATTCAGATACAGGATAATTTACAAACTAGGCACTTCCCTTATATAGCAAATACGCTATCACTACATGTCTAACAATCTATGGATAGATATATGATGCCTGCTGCACATATTTTGCATACAAGTAAACTTGTAACTATCGTGGGCTGCTAAATCCATCAGTCTTATCAGCGCAATGACACGAACAACCCTTCATATGTCACAAAGTGCGGTGAAAGTTGAGATCTGCAAAACAGTGCAATTGCAGATATTATGAGGCTAACGAAAGCGGATTGATTTGAACTAGAACAATTAAGAAAGGTGTACGCCTTACAATGAATAACTTATGCATCCCAGGCCTCCAGTAAAGGATTCAATATTCCAAGCTTTACAAAAGGGCTTTTTCTTTCGATTCCTTGAAGACTTGTGAAGTTCCCGTTACCCTAAAAGGAAAAATGTTACTTTTTAAAACAATAAAGAGGAAAAACATGAAAGCTGTACTGCCATATCCATCAATGTACACATTGTTTTATAATTAGAATTTCCAGGTTGACAACAGCATGCAATATAACACTATAACTTGGAAAACGTTGAAAGTTTAAAACCCAAAGTTCCCGTGCAAAAATTGAGAGAGCAGTTCCAAAGAGAATAAATGATTAAAGAGGTAATAAACTAATCACGTGGAAAACTATATGTAATCAATTTTCACAACTGACGATTATGAAGCTTTGCATAGAGTAGAAATGCATCCTAAAAGAGCAAGAAAGTGACTTAGTTTCAAAGACCCTGATTAGATCCGAAATAGCTTTTAGTCTATAAAGTGTGTACACCAAATTTAACGTAACTCCACTTAGGTTCTACAGGGAAATGCCATGTATAATGAAGCCGTATATTTCAACAAATATTTGTTAGGCTAACCAGCATTCAGCTTTATTGGCTACTAATAAGTACCCATGACCAACCTAGGAGTCCAAGAACAGTTACAAGTCCAAGAGAGCATCCCTAGGCTCTCTACTATCAAAATTAGATATAAAAGTACCTTTAGACACTGCCCCCTTCTGCTATCGCAAACAGGATAATCATGTGGACAACAATAGCGATGATCCTTGCAGCAAACTGCCGACTCCAACTCGCAACAACTCCAAGAAAGGCAAAATCCAAATATGCGCCGAGTGCAGCAGCACGTGCTCCCAGCAGGACAATAAGTTAGCATACTGCATTTTGTAGGACTCGGCCGAGGTGAAGGTGGAGGGTTTGGATTAGTCTTCTTCGGGTATGATGCCATCATATTTATACCACATATCCCTTGTGGACTCCCACTCTTACGAAGCATATGCATATATCCATTCATTCCCCAACTCGTTCCCCATGAATTTTTTATAATCCAATAGTCTTTCCCATTTTCAGAACCATAGCCAACAATAAGAACGGCGTGGTCTAAATTTGTTGAACATGGACCGCTGAAGATTCCCTGCAAGAAGAACACATTTATCCAAAAGGACATGAAGAATTATTCAAGGGACGAAATGATCAACTCCTCAAAGAATTTCTAAACTTCAAATTCCCCACTTGATGTATCAATCTACCTATTATTCCCCTTATACTATCTGTATAAGGCCAATGCGGGGCACTTGGTTGTGAGAATTTTTGGTTAGAAGGGAAAGGAGACGAACCCATAAAAACCCAAGAAGAAATTCAAAAAACTTTGTACTAATTTGTTAAACATTTTACTGTGAGCTAACAAAATTGCCACATTGGGCCCATACACATAGTATAAGGGGGATAATAGGTAAATTGATAATTTAGGGGGGAAGCTTGGAATTTAGCAATACTTCAGGGGGAATTTGTCACTGCATCCTTATTCAAGATGCAACTTAGGTATCATAATCGGCACAAACCTTTGAGTACAATTGGAACGTTCTCTCACTGCCACATATTCCTACGCTCACGGGCTGGGTTGCAACAGCCTGGAGTAACAGGTCTTCGTTGTTTTGTGGCACATCGGTGTAACCATCAATTGTTACAACATGACGATTTGCCTACAAGAGACAAGTGTAACATTTTATAGTTTGCAATCCATTATGAGGGATTAGGTCTGTTTGATGTAATATTACTACCTTGTTCTTGATACAGGTGCCGTCCTCACCCCTGAATGGGTAATCATCTTCCGAATCGATGCCATGATTTTGTATTACCCACTTGTAAGCATAATCCATAAGACCACCACCACAACCGCTATTATAAGATCGATCACAATCACACAGCTCTTGTTCAGAAAGGCTCACAAGAGATCCCGTCTTGATCTGATTTATTCCTTCCATTGCACCAGTGGCTGAGAAGGCCCAACAAGCGCCTGTTGAAGAAACCAAAGCTAATGTCAACAGGAAAATGTTACCAGCGTCTTACACTATAAAGGACAGATATTTGCATGATTAAGTTAAGAATATATGCAAGTTATCGTTCTGATTTCATTGATGTAAACTGTTAGCACAAGCTGGAAGAGTGTACCACCATCAAATACATGATAACGTTCCCAGATAAATATTGCCTTGAAAAGCCTTCATTCCCGTAATAAAGTTGAAGGTTCTTAAAATCATTTCTATTTCCACATAAATACACTAAAATACCCAGTTTCAAATTTCCCTACCAAACAGAATGGTTTAGACAGGTGGCTCTTAGAAATACATAAACTGTATGTCCACCCAATGCCATAAAAGGGAGGCGCTATTAATAGCCATGTCATTTGCTATAATAGTATTTTAGGGCTACTTCAAATTTCTAACATCCTAGCCAACAATTCTCAATCAAGTTTATTCTTTTTAGCATAGTAATCAAAGGAACAAGCATTATTTAATGACGACTTAGGAAGGCTCGCGCAATTCCAGTTGAAGGGTTTGATCCAATCCCTGTACAGAAAAGAATAATAGAGACCACTTACTAACTTGTTTTCTATTTGAAAAGCTAACATAGGCAATGACCATTTAAGCTTTTTGGCATCTGAAGATATCCACATAATTATCCAGACTCAGGTTAAAGTGCAACAATAAGCTTGCACCTTCATTTAATATGCATACAGGTGTTTCAATTGTACTGGTGAGATCTTTTTAGAAATAAAAACAAATTGATCAAGTGCAGAGGTGAGCAGTAAATTTGTTCTAGTGAAATCTTATCAGAAATATCAGTAAGAATCATAAGAATATCTCAGGCAAGAACTACATAGCTGTTTCGAGTTTTGAAGATAATAAGAAGCATATGCTTTACAAAGTTTGCAATACAATTAAGCAGTCCACTTTGTCACTCAATGAATTAGGAAGCATATGGTGCTAGCAATATTCAGAAGAGAACTTCAGATATTTAAAAAATTCCAGCCTCCCTCCGATAAAGAGGTTATTGAATCATAATTGACAACAAGTGACTCTGGACTTTGACTAACAAAGAGAAAACTCGATGCATATATTCCAACTTTCTGTAAATCTTCGTGCTATTTCTAGCACCATAACAATATATCAAGACTTTGTGATAAGTGTAAACTCTAGTAAACTATTCTTAACAAATCACTCCTGTCAGGAGAAGCATCCACATACTTGAAACTACTATATATTTGTTAATCCACTTTTCTCGAAACACAAAGATGATCTAAACGATATCAATTAATGAATTAATAATTCTCCAAAATATCCTTCCTTGAAAACTATTTGGTGTTGTCTATGTCACAGAAAATTAGGCTTCAAACACCATCCAACTCAAATCTTATATTTGTAAACTGAATAGGAGTACAAAAAGCACCCTTCTTGGAATCTAGCAAAATAATTTTAACAAACATGTCTCTGATTTGTCAACAACAGCAACAACAACAAAGCCTCTCTCCCAAATTATTTCACACGAATCCTATCCCTTCATTCAGTTTTGTTGAGGGCTATTTCATAAAGTTAATCACTATCATGTCCTTCTTAACTGCCTCCAATTATTTAGTCATACCTCTAGTCTTCCTTCTTCTACTAATCATAACATTAGCACTTTTCCTAATTGGTGCATTTACTGGCATAAACATATCGTTAGTTCGGTCAATCCTCCAAAATATTTCGCCTTATCCAAAATTTTCTAACCTAGCGTAGGCTATCCCGTAATTCCTTAAAGTTGCACATTTTGAATTTTCGTAGTGCAAAGGGGATCGATTGGCCATTACCCATCAGCTACCAGAGCTCTTGACCGCGAATTTTGTCTCAATTAGCTCAGGGCAGGGGAGAATATCATCATCAGAGGCGATTTCTGAGGCGATTCCTGGGACGAGTGAGACAACAAATTTTGTGGCACGTAGTAATTGGGAAGAGTTTGATAATGGTAATCTTGTCTCTAATCCTTCTTTAAATTCTGATCTTTCTCTCAATTTGAGGCCCATTCAGTCCATTTCTTGGCCTGTTTTGGAGAAAACTAGGGTTAGGTTTGATCCTGAGGTTAGGTTAAAGCCTACGGTGGGGATTGATCCTTCGTGTAGATCTCTAGAGGAGTTAAAGGCGGATATTGAAGAGGGGGGATGGGTTAAAGTTGTTAAACTAAACCCTAGATCGCCGCAGTCGCTCAAAGTTCTTGCTCCTCATCGAAATCTATCTGCCGAAATTATTCGTAGATATCGTCTTTGCTTTCGTTGTTGGGGATCGAATCATATGGCTAAATATTGCAGAGATCTGATTATTTGTTTCAGATGTCAAGAAGTAGGGCATGAGGCAAGAAATTGTAGAGCGGGAGATCTTGGTAATGGAGGTAATGATAATAGAGGTCGCGATGATGGAGATAGAGGGTTTGGTAACGGAGGACGATGTTTCGGTACTGATGGTCATAGTTATTGTGGTCATAATAATGGAGATCATGGTAATGGAGGTTGTTTTGGGTAAATTTCTGGTCGAAGTGGGGGTTTTGTTCGCCCTAATCCTTGGCAATGACGTCGAGAAAGAACTGATTTTGATTTCTCTTCATCAAGACATCAAGATCGACCTACTGAGAAATTTCAACAAGATAAAAGCAAAAGACCTTTATCTTCGGTTGATGACGACAAATTGCATAAGACTGTTCTTCAATTTCAAGATCAAGGACTGTGGGATTATGAAGCTTTGGAAGCTGAGTTGAAAATCTCAGGTGATCGTCCTCGTTTTTCTTCTGCTATGTTTCAATTTGAGGGAGGTGAATTCTGATTTTTAAAAATTTAGAAATTTTGTCATTATCTCTTTTGTAGAGGGGGGTAATATCTCTTTAGAAAGATTAGAGCTGAATTTGAGAGTTTTTTTCCTATGAATAAACATTGGGATGTGAGGTTGTTTACTAATGGTGAAGTTCTGGTTAAAATTAAACATTGGAAACAAATGGAAGATTTAATCAGAATGGGGGTTATAACTCTACGATCTTGTAAAATTAAATGTAAAAGATGAAGTGCTTGGGAAGGAAATGTAATTAAAAAAAGAAATGCATGTATTTGGATAAAATTGAAAAATGTTCCTCCTTATTTGTGAAATAAGGAATCTTTTGAACTGATGGTGAAGCCTTTTGCTGATTTAGTTGATCTTGATTCTCTAACAAGTGCATGTACTGAATTTGTGGATGCTGTGATGATGGTTAGATGTTTAGAATATATTGATATTCCTAAATTGATTTATGTGGGAAGGTATCAGTATAATGTGAAAGTATCCATCATGTCGGTTATAGGAGAGATTTCTGAAGGGGAGAGAAAGAAACAGAAAGTTGACAATTGGAAGATACTAATCAGAGCACATATCATGACAAATGGTTCAAAGAAAGGAAAGATAGTGGGACTGACTCTTCATCTATGAGAGTCTGATACCAATTCTTAGACTGTTCGACAAGATTTGAGGAGTAATTCATGGGGATCTCCAGCTGCTAAACTTTGGATTCATGCAAAAAACTTTTATCAAAAGCAAAAACCTGAATGGGAACCTTAGGTGGAAAACTCTATAAAGGACAATTGTGATGAACAGTTTCCAGAGCAGGTGGTGTTAACTGAAGGTGAGGGAAAATTTGAACAACTGCTAGAGACAGAGGAAGATAAAAATAAAAATACTGAGAATATAAAGGATATGGATGTCCCTTTGTCTCCTGTTATTGGGGAGAACAAATCTGATCTGCACGTAGTAGAGGAGTCTTTTGATGGGTCCAAAAATAATTTTCTCATGATAAAAGATAATTTTGATGCTGAGTAATGAGTATCTTTTTCACCCACCAGGGAGGAAATCCCAGAGAAAGAGGAGGATTTTCTCATGGTTAAGCCTTTGAATTCTTTGCCTCATGCAGATCCTAATGCAAAAGTTAAGTTTGTCAGAAGATACTCTAGATTTGTTGATCTTGAACCTATGACAGCTTTAGACAGAGCCACTTCAAGAGCTACAATTAAAAATGCTGGAAAAACTACTCATGAAGTCTCTACTAGTGGTTCAGGTGAAACTTCTTCTTCTTTGGGTTCTTCTTTTATTCTTATTTTGTTTGATTCTTGTTCTAATGGTCACTTGCAAAGCTATGCCTCTAAATATGCTATTATTCTTGAGCTTCAAGAGGATTTTGATCCTCTAAAAAAAGTAAGGCAAATGGAGCAGAAGAGAGCTACTTTTAGGTAGACTCTTAGGATATGTTATGTTGCGGAGTTCTGCTTTATCAAATGTTGGTTACATGGAATGTTAAAGGCTTGGGGTTGAGTTCAAAAAGATTTGGTGTTAAGGATTTTTGTCAGTTGAATAAATTTGAAATTATTTGTTTACAAGAAACTAAGTTGAGTTGTTTTACTGACAACATTTTAAAAAGTTTGGGTGGTAATATGTTTGAATGAGGGTATATACCCTCTTGTGGTGCTTTTAGTAGGATTATGATTGGTTGGAATAATAATAAATGGAAGAGATTGCATGAATTATCTGAAAATTTTGTTTTGGTTGTAGTGTTACAAAATAAAAGGAATTATTTTGTTTGGACCGTTTCATCAGTGTATGGACCTCATTGTAATAGAGAGAGAAGATTTTTTTAGCAGGAACTCAAGGATATTAAAAGCAATATTTCAGGCCCTTGGGTTGTGGTAGGAGATTTTAATGTTACAATTAATCTTGGAGAAAGAAAAGGTAAAACTAGTCATATGAAAGAAATGAAAGAATTTAATGAAGTGATCAATGAATTAGAATTAATAGATAGCTCCCTTCATGGAAGAGATTATACTTGGTCAAATAAGAGAAGATCACCTTCTATGGCTAGATTTGACAGAGTTTTTTCAACTCTGCTTGGGAAGATATGTTTTATTTTGCTAGACAACAAGGACTTAGTAGTCAATTATCAGATCATGCCCCTATAAGTTTTGATTGTGGGGACAATCAAAAATTGGTTAAAAATTTTAGATTTGAAAAAATTTAGCTGCAGTCTGAAGATTTTACAAAAGGTGTTCTTTTGTGGGGGAGTTGTGCTCCTTCGAGTGACGATGCTGCTAAAAACATTGTGGGTAAGCTGAGATTTATGAGGAAGTGTATAAAACAATGGGTTCATTCCAACTTTTATAGTGTTAAGCAAAAGAAAAATGAGATACTTGATAGTCTTTTAGATTTAGAGGTTTTAGAAAAGAGTAGAGATCTGACAGATGATGAGATGATTAGGAAAAATGATATTTATGTTCAGCTGAAGGAGATTTTATTTCAAGAAGAGCAAATGTGAAAACAAAGAGCTAAGACTCATTGGTTTAAAGAGGGAGATCATAACACTTCATATTTTCATAAGATTGCTAATGGTAAAAAAAGAAATAATCTGATTTCTTCAATTTCTTACAATGATACTGAGATTAGTTCTGAGGATGGGATTGCTCAGGTTTTTTTAAATCATTACATCAGATTTTCGGTCAAAATGTTACTCACAGATGCCAACTTGATTGGAATTGTTTATTTCCTTTGGTTGATTAGGGAGCTAATGATATTGAGCAACCTTTTTCCATAGAGGAAGTTCACAAAGCTATTTTTGATATGAAAGGGGATAAATCCCCTGGCCCTGATAGCTTTCCTGCTTTATTCTTTCAAGTGTTTTGGAACACTGTGAAAGTGGATGTTATGAAACTTTTTGAGGAGCCTTATGAAGGCAGACTTGAAATCAATAGACTTAATTATGCCCACATTGTTCTTATTCCTAAAAAAATAAGTCTCTTACTGTTAATGATTAGGACCCATTAGCCTTCTCAATGTGATGTATAAAGTGGTCACTAAAGTTTTGACTAATAGATTAAATCCTAAGCTAGAGTTGCTTATAGACCCTGTGCAGTCTGGTTTTATTAAGAATAGATTCCTGCTTGAAGGAGTAGTTGCAACCTAAGAAATAATAAATAATTATTTTCAGAATAATAAAACGGGGGGAATCTTATTAAAATTAGATTTTGTGAAAGCTTATGATATGTTAGACTGAAATTTTATTCTGGATGTCTTGAAAGTTAAAGGGTTTGGAAGCAAATGGATAATTTAGGTGAATATGTATTTAAAAGGAGGCTTGTCTGCCATTAATTTGAATGGTAAACCTGAAAATTAGATTATATCTAAAAGAGGTGTTCGTCAAGGAGACCCTCTATCACCCCTTCTTTTTGTGTTGGCAGCAGACTCTTTTACTAGAATGTTAACTTTGGCAGTTAATTCTCATCTTATTGAAGGTTTAGGTACTGATAATATGGCTCACAAAGTTTTTTGTCTGCAATATGCATATGGTACTTTGATTTTTTGCAAAAATAATAGAGAACAGATGACAGTTTAGAAACTGCTCTTATATTGTTTTGAACTTGCATCTGGTCTAAAAATAAGTTTTAATAAGAGTGTTCTTATTGCTCTTGAGGATAATGATCTTTTAAAACAAAACTTGACAGTTATGATGAATTGTAAGAGTGATAACTTTCTCATTACTTATCTTGGGGTGCCTTTAAGGCCTGAAAGATTGAAGAAAGATGATTGGTTTCCTTTGGTTGAGAAAATAGAGAAGAGATTAGCCATATGAAAAGGTAAATCTTTGTCAAGAGGAGGGAGACTAGTTTTAGTTAACTCAGTTCCCTTCTCTATGCCAATTTTCTGGTTCTTCTTTTTAGTCCCTTTATGAGTAATTGAAAAAATTGATAGGATGAGAAGAAGATTTCTATGGGTTGGATCTTTGGATCATAAGGGATGTACAAATTTGGTTAAATGGGATGAAATTTGTAGACCAAAACATTGTGGTGGAATGAGAGTTATAAATTTGAAAATTATGAATAAAGCACTTTTGGGAAAGTGGCTTTGGAAATGGTTCGATGAAAATTCTGGTTTATGGAAGCAAATTAGTTTTTATAAATATTTTGAAATAAGAGCTTGGACAGTGTATTTACACTCTGGAAGGTTACATTTATCACACTTTTGGAAAAATGTTTTTGTCAATATGGACAGTTTTCTATGCAGTACTCAAGTGGATGTGAGAAATGAAGATCATACTTTATTTTGGCTTGATAAATGGTTAGGCTCATCTACTCTTGCTTCTCTATTTCCTTCTCTGTTTGCTCTCACTTTGTCCCCCTATGCCAACATTAGTAGCTTAAGGAAGAAGGAACATAATTTGTGGATATGGGATGTTCAATTTAAGAGACAATTGGCTGGTAATTTGGTTTCTCAATATTTTCAAATGATGAATTTTCTTAATTCGGTTAATCTTGAGCAACATGAGGATAAAAGAAAATGGTTGTGGGATGCAAAAAATATTTTTACTATTAAATCCTTTTATCACTTTCTTATTGATGGAGGATTGAGATATGATTGTGAAAATAATTGGGGCCTTCCTATTCCTTTAAAAATTAAATTTCTTGTCTGGTTAGCTCTAAGAAATGGCTTGAATACAAAAGACACTTTGGAGAAAAAAGGAATACATATAGAGAAAAGTTGTTGCTTTGGCTCTAAGATGGAAGAGAATCATACTCATTTGTTTCTTAAATGTGAGTTTGTTTACTCAAATTGGAGGTCAATCCAATTCAAATTGAATACTGAGAATGATTTCAGATTGACTTCTTTAAAAGAATTATGGTTAGATTGGAATATTTGTAGTGATGCAAATACCAAGTTGAAACGGGATGTTTTCATATGCTCACTAATTTGGTGTGTGTGGGAGGAACGCAATGATAGACTTTTTGCTAACAAGCAGAAGAGATCTATTGATCTTTTTAACAAAATGGAGGCTTACTCAACCTTTTGGCTAGGTTTTAATGGCTTGTCTGCTCGAGCTTCTAGACTACAGGAAAGAAGAAAGAAAAGAGATGCTGGGAGGAGAACTGTTCAAAATGTTGGAGCTGTTGGGGAAAACTGGAAGGAGTCTTGCGGGCAGTGTGATACTGCTGAAATGAAGATTAATCTCAGAGAACTACCTTCTATGTTTCTTTTTGGTTTAAGATTAGCTTTTTGCTATATGATTTTCTTCTCTTATGTGGACTTCCTTTGTGTACAGGAGTGTTCTTTTATTTCCTGCCATGTAGTTGTTTTTGTTGAACTAATAGGCCATACTCTTGGTGGGGGGTATGTTCTTTTCATGTAACAACCTCTTTTGTTAATTTAGCTGGCTGGAATACCATTCCATCCTTTTTCTTAAAAAAAAAAAGTTGTACATTTTGAAAGAAAATAGTGCGTATGAAGATACAGCTGAAGTTACTCACTCAGAGAGCTAAATTGAATATCACCCCTCGCCGAGACACCAAAGCGATCAGTTCCTCGGCAAATATTTACGGGAAAAAAAAACATTTAAAAGAAAAATATCAAGATAGAAATTGATCGTACCGCAGCTGCCCTGATCTTTAACAGCAGTAACGGCCCCTTTCTCCCTCCAATCAATCGAGCCCGGCGCCTCCCCATCAAGCCCAGCAAACGATTCGCCCCAGCCGGCATCCCCATCCGCAGCGCTGACGCCGGAGGCGGGCCGGACCTGAACTCGCCGTGAGTGAGATCCGCGAAGGCGTTGAGGCCGAGGGCGTAGCTTCCCCTCGAGTTGTGGTCATTTACGAAGGCGAGGTTTTCCTCGAAGATCCTGAAGCGGGCGAGCTTCTCGCTCTCCGAGGCGTAGGATTTGTTGTGGAGGGCGCACCATGAGTCGAAGAGGGAGGAGGGGGACGAGGAGGCGAGAGGAGAGAGAAAGAGGAGGAGGAGGAGGAGGGAGGAGAGTTTGGGGAGGGGCATTTTGGGAAGAGGGAGGAGACGGTCCATGATCATGATCAGAGAGAGTTGGGAGTAAAAAAAAAAAGAGCGGGCCT